AGAGAGAGAGAGAGAGAGAGAGAGAGAGAGAGAGAGAGAGAGAGCGGGAGAGCAGAAATGAAAAGAAGAGAAAAGAAAAGAGAAAAAGGAAAGAAAGAAAATACAGAAGGAAGTTTTCTCAGTGTGGAGGATGTTTCTCTTCTTTTTCCTCACTGGACACATTTTTTCGTTCTTCTTCATAAGGACACATCCATTTCTGCCACTGTGACTGCATTAGAGCACATGACTGAAACTACTTTTCTAAGAATTTCTGGGAAATGAAGCTTGCTGACTTTGGTTTTTCTATTTTTATTTTTATTTTTGGGTTGTTTTTTTTTTTTTTTTTCAGTTTTTTCCTGGTACCGGGAATCAAACTCACGACCTCGCGCCTGCCAGGCAAGTGCTGTGCCACTGAGCTAAATCCCGAGCCCCAAAACTTGCTGATTTTGTAGGGGGAGAATTACCGGTGGGGATGCTTTCCCTTCATACTAGAGAAAACACAAACACAGAAGTATGTTGTCAAGATTATCAGGCAAAGCAGTTTTGGGATGAGCTGACCTCAGGTGAGGGGGCAGAAAAAATAATATCTTTGAAACACGGGATCCAGCTTCACTTGAAATCACCATGACTTCTGTATTTTTAAATTGTGAGGGCAAAAAATTCTTACTGTTTACACCATTTTGAATAGAGTTTTAGGGCATAGACAATTTCAAGGCTGATAACTGGAGCTCTGAGTTACTTCTCACTTGGTAAAGGGAATGCATATTAATATAGTAAAATAGACAAACTCTGGACTGCTTCTGACTTGTAATAGGGAGCCCAAGTCCCCAGGTGAGAGCAGTGCTTTGATGCTGAATTTGGAACGACGCAGAGCCATCCATCCATCCATCCATCATCACCAAGTTGTGTCAATCAGATTCAAAGAACTCAGACAATGGCCTGCTTCTCTCTAACCTGAGGGACGTTTCCTCCTGTGGACCGCCACCGCCCCTCCCTGGTCAGCCCACACCAGGTTGCTGTGTTCATCTCGCCTCCTCTGTGGCTCACCTCAAACCCATTCTCCACACATACGCAGCAGCTCTCTCCAAAGCGCGTCTGACCATGTTTCAGTTTGCTCAAGACCCTTTTTATGCACCATTCTCTAAGGAGCAAGATCGTACTCATTTGCATGTCCCTGCAGGTGGAACCCCACCCCCTCCAACCTCCCTCCTCCCCCTGCAGTCTGCCTCAGCCGCCCTGGCCACCTCGCTGCCCCTCACACAGGAAGCCCAGCCTAGCGCCCGCTGTTCTTCCTACCTGGAAGTTGCTCTCCTTCCATCCTTCCTGCAGGCTCTCGGTTCTCAGCCTGCACGTCACTCTCTGGAAGGGTCTCCTAACACCCCTGCATTCACCCAGCAGGCACTCTACACCCACTGTTACCGTCCTATCATAAGATGTTAGTATTACCTGTGTACTGGCCCCTAACTTAGGAGAGTGGACACTGTGAGGACAAGTCCACTTTCCCCCCTCATTTCTACAGCTGTCACAGAGCAGCTGGCCCACCATAAATGCTCTATAAATACTGCTGAATTAATTAAAAAGCTATTCCTATGGGAAATCCAATACACAATGGCATGTCTCTATCAGTATAAACACAGGATGCGCACATACATGTAAATACACCTGACCTACACACGTGTGAACACGTGTGCACATGTGCAATAGGCAGGATGCATGTGTAAATACATACATGCATATGTGTGTGTCTAATTCAGAAAGTACAGTTAACTGAGAATAGCTTCCGTTTTAAACAAGTTAAAAGCATTTCACCCAGGGTTTGATTTCAGGAATCACAGAAACGGTGCCAATTTTCTAAGCACACTGTTGTAACACTGCTACATGAGATGGAGCAGGGGAAGGCTTTAAAAATAGCGGACCGGATATCCCTCGTGGTGACTTGGGTTATGTAAAAGTATTTTGTGTGAAGCCAATGCTTCACAATGGGCCCCTGAGCTTTGAAAAGGCTGTTTGGGGTCCCTTTTCAGTGTTAAATATCTGCTTATAAATGCAGCCAGACTAACAATCTGGAGAAAAGGATACAATGTCCAAACAGTTATCACTGTCTAATTCCAGATACTTAAGAAAATTCTGATGTTAATACTGAAGGACATTCATTTTTGGAAAGCCCTCTAACAGTTGAAGAAGCCAGGATTCCTCTTAAGAAATTTGTTAGGTTGGGCTTGCTGTACTTTTCTATTGGAGCAGAACAATCAGACAATATCTGGAGCTAATAACTTTTACTTTAATTTTAAATAGTAGTCATGTGAGGACATTGCTTCTGGAGACCTCATGAAAACAAAATATTAAAAATTGCGGTTTGAATGTGTGCTGTGCATGACATCCTTGGGCATGGCTGATCAGACCACGGTTGGTGGTCGTTTGTCCCGTGGTACACCTTGACTCAAACATGTATCGGGGCAAAGAGGAAATGATTAGCTGGACTAATCTGATTCTCTCTGGAGATGAGAAGAATTAGGCGGTCGGTAGTGAGGGTGGAGCTGAGCAGAGAGAAGGCAGAAGGCAGACAGGAGCAGATATGCATGTGCACAAAGCTTGCAGTGGACAGTGAGGAGGCAGAAGCCACGAGCCTGTGCGCACACAGGCTGGGGAGGTGGAGGCTGCTTGTCTGTCTGGGACACGGATGGTGAGGGCAGAAAACTTTATGAATTGCTGTATTTCCGACTGCTGAAGGGACAGTGAGATGACTAAGTCATATTCCTAATTAACTTCCCGTATCCTCAAGACCTGCTTGAGATCTACAGTCCTGTACCTCTTATTACTGAGTGAGTACATTTATAAACAACTGAACTTCCTCTGCTATGGGATCTTTCTTCCCCAGCATCACAGAAGTCTTATCCAGATATCTGTGCAAGCCAGCACGCAGGCCCATTTAATCTGGATACACTGCTTCCCTGCCACCATGCTTCCCCTTTGCCATGCCTACCCATCAAAGCCCATTTCTTGCTGGAAAGCATTGCTGCTGTGACCCTCTCCTCCCACCCAGAGCTGGGTGCTCATCACCACCTTCACTTCCACTCTTCCCTCCACTTTGTTTGCAGAAGACCCGACTCAGCATGTCAGTAAGCCAATAGCTGAGAGTGCTGGGATCCAGGTGCATGAGGAAGATGGAAGAGTTATTCCGCTGTCCTGGGTGGGGTGCTCAGCGTTTGCAAACACAGCACATCAAGGCCCGAAGCAATGTGTCCCACTACCCCTGCAGTGTACCACGTGCGTGAAAATATCTGGACACTCTCCAACAAGTGAGACCCAAATGGTAGGAATCATTCCAAACAATGTCTAGTGATTTGTACCAGAAATCATTTGCTATCTCACTGGCAAACACCTAAGCTTATGATATCATCAGGAACTAAGTTTTCTTCATTGGCTACACACTTTGGCTCTTTTTGTGAGGATTCCGATGACTAATGGCCTCAGCAGAGCTAAATATTTATAAAAGAGAAAGATGGAAAAATAGTGATGGCAGTAGGGGAAAGACTGGTATATTTGTAAAATGAATTAAATGGAATATATTTCCTTTTGTATTTGAAGATGAATACACTACCTTAAACAGACATTTGACGCTGCTTTTCCACTTGTTATGATTGGTTTGCCTTATGCTTACTAGGAAGAACAACTTGTAATATTGGTCTTTTTCTTTCACAGCTGAAAGTTAACTGGCCCATGTGGAGATTTTATCAGAACATGGTGTACAGAGAAATAGTACCATGCAGTACCCAGCGTGTTTGCCAAGAGCCCAAAGACAAAGCACCTTGACCCACCCATCCTTTGTTCAATAAATAATCAACTGAACCATGTACGTGGCCAGAAGCTTTTTGTTTTTTACAATTTGGTTGACTGAATCCACTTCTAAAAAAAAACTAAGCCCAATGTCAAAAGTTCAGTAAGACAGCTATGCAAAGTAGGGGTCAAGAATGAGTACACAAGTTTAGAGGGAATTTTTCCAAAATGAATCTAATGGGAGGAAAAAAAAAACTAGTTTTAAAAATCTCCTTAAATTACTCTATTTGGTTTGTCTCATTCTTGGCATGAACTGCAAGCATGTTCAAATTTTGTTGTGGTGTTTTACTAATTTGATACATAACCATGTCACATTTTAAGTTTTACTCAAAGCAGATAAATCAATTATTGCTGGTGGAGAAAGCCCAACAAAGTAAAAGGTCATATTAATAAAAATAGATTTGGGCACTAATACCAAAATAGACTAATATACCAAAAATATTGGCTTGGTCCTTCTTGATACCAAGAGGAAGGACCATGACCTCCTGGGGCAAGGAAGACAAGAAGGCAGGGACCCCAGATAACTGGCAATATCACCACACCTCAGTGCATATTCTAAGTCAAGTGGCTATTCCTAGGAGGAGCTAATATCTCCACAATTATCATTTATTTTTCTTTCATACTTAGATTGAGTCAATCTTGATTTTAACAGTCAGTACTCAGACTAGATCGGTACAAAACTGGAAATGCCTCAGAGTTTGGTGATAAGCAATCATTAATTAGCAACCTGCTTCTCACATTTCTCAGTTCATCTTGGGTCACTGCCAGATGGCTTTTTCAGTTAAGGTTCACCCAGGTGTACTTGCTGGACCGAATCTGTTGCTCCTAGGGCCACCTGTATCCTCCCATGTGACTCTGAAAGGCTCCATTGCTGGGGCAAAAGGTTGCTGACCTGCCAGTTCTGCTGGCCAGACTATTCTGTGCATTCCTGATACCTTGCCAGGGTCTTTAGGTGGCAAGCAACAGGAATGATTTAGACTAACACAATGATAAAAAAGGAATTTGTTGGAATGACATGGGGAAGCTCACAGATATTGAAGAAAAGCTAAATAAACAAGGCTCAGAAAAGACCAGCCCCAGGCTGTTGTGAGGCTTGAGATACAAGAACTAACAGTTTTTGCAGGACACTGCTATCCGGATGAATACACTTTGCTCTTTCAGGTGAAGAATGAAACTCCTGGGGGAGGGCACTTTCTGGCTTGGCTTAGGTCATGTGATCTACTGTTGGCTAAGGGACCCACATGACATGAGTGGGTGGTAGGGGTCGTTTCCTGCAGTCAAAACGAGGTGCCGATACCAGGAGAAAGAGCCTATGTCCACAGCATTCTGTTCTCTAGTATTTCTGGATGCCGTCTGCCACCTGCTCACTTCCAACGTAGTTCTTGCCTTAGTTTTGGGGCCTTCTGGCCCACTTTGCTTTTGGGGGGCGGGGACCAGGAATCAAACTCAGGACTTTGTGCATGCCAGGCAGGCACTGTGCCGCTGAGCTATATCCCCGGCCCCTTCTGGACCACTTTGATATCTTTCCAATCTGAGTCAATCCACCAACATGATTTCTAACTCCTGCATTGACTCAGAACTTTAATTTAAATCCAGTTACAATGAGTCCTCTGATTTGCATTTTCCTCACTTCCAGCCATTTATTTCCTTTCAGGTCTTTCTTCCCTTGTATTTCCCAACTCTGCACGTTCCTTGCAAGTTGCAGATGTTCTTGGGACGCCATTTTCTTTTAAATAGACAGAGAAAACTGTGTATGTTTATTGTGTAGCTGTTGCTTGGAAATACATATACATTGTGTGGTTAAATCAGGCTACTTAATATATGCATTAATTCACATAGGTGTCACTTTGTAGTGAGAACATTGAGAATCTACTCAGCAGTTTTCAAGAAGGCAGCATATTGCTATTGATGATTTTATACAATTCCTGGCCTAACATTTTCTGAAAAATTCTCTAGATTCACCCTGTTTTGATGGTAGCCATGGTTATCCTGAGCTGTTTGACCCAAATCCTTATTTTAAGTGGCACAATTCAAGGTGTTTATTCAGATAGTTTCAGCATTTTAAAAATGGCAAAACAAGCAAGCAAACAAAACTCTTTTACTTCCTTTGGAAATGCACAATCCTTAAGAATTTGTTTACACAGAAACTACTTCATGTATATTTAAAAGTCAAATTTCCCATAAATCCAAGGTCAGTTGATACAATGTCATATGGAACAGCTCTAATTTAATTAAATTCATATTTATTGTTATTGGTAGATTAAAATGAAATCCAAATCTTATTTTAAAAATGAGTGGCTCAACTGTTCTCTTGGTACTGTATGCCAACATGTGAGATGTTCTCAAAATAAACAGTAAATGCCAGGTGTGGTGTCTTATTCTTGTAATCCCAGAATTTGGGAGGCTGAGTGAGGAGGATCATGAGTTCAAGGCTAGCCAGAGCTACAAAGTGAGAGATTTTGTCTCCAAAAAATATAATGGATATTTAAATTAAAAATTTATTACAGTAAAGGACAGATTGCTATTAATCCCATTTAAGATGCTCCCCCTTTCTTTGAACATAACCCATTATTCTTGCTACTTTCTGAAGCAGACCTCGAGGTCCTCTCTCATGAGTGTCTGCAGTTGCATGGTTGTGGGTGCCTACATGTCCAGAATCTATTCAAAACATTTCCCTTTTTGGTCATTTTGACATTGGATGAAAGCCAGAAGTCAAGTGGTTACAGATCCCATGAATAAGGTAGAGGAGGATGTGCTGTCAGGTTTTCACTTGACAGGAATCGTAGACTGTAAACTGCGTCAGAAAGTGGCAAGAACAATAGGAACACATCTGATAGGAATCATTATTGCTTGTGGTAACAAAAAATCATGAATACACAGAAAAGGTTTTGGCTCCTGAATTTGGTAGGTAAAAACGGTATGGAATTTTGTTAAAATATAGCCAAATACCATCCTCCACTAGCAGAAGTACTTACTTAGAGAGCGCCTGACATCTGCTAGGCACAGTTGTAAACACCCACACATGCCCATAGTGAGGCAGTATTACTCCCATTTTACATATAAGGAAACTAGAAGTCAGCCGCTTGGCCAGGCCAGCCAGTTGGTTGGTGGGATGGATTATGTGATGATGTACTTTCTTTTTTTTTTTTAGGTTTTTTTCCGGTACCAGGAATTGAACTCACAACCTTGCACTTGCCAGGCAAGCATTGTGCCGCTGAGCTAAATCCCCAGCCCCGATGATGAACTTTCTAAGTGCCACTGAAAACAAGTTTGGGTCTATGAAAAAGGTTTGTATGAGAAAAGGGTCCTCATATTAACATTGGTAAGGAATAGTGGCTTTAGAGTTCAGGAGGGAAGTATGACAAGAATTAACTATTCTCTACTTAGCTATGATCACTAGTTCATCTTTAGAGGCCTTAGAATGGAGATGATCTGGCCTGCTGCGGTGGTTATGATGAATCCATCTTCAATCTGCATATCAGTTTAGAAACTACTATTTCAATTTTAGAAACAAAAAAGCACTGTCCTTCATATTGAATAAACAGGAAAATTAGGGGCCAGAAAAACTTAGAATAACAAACAAAGAGTATACTCCAGACCAATCCAGTGATTCATCCTGCTGCCAAAGCACAGCAGTTTCATTTCTAAAAACAGGTCAGACTAGGAAAGTTCTCTGGTGGCTGCCTTCTGAAGGTGAGCTTATTGAAACAGACACCCACATAAATCTCTTGTGGTATGACAGTGGACGTCAGAGAAACTGGTATTAGTGCACATCTTTCCCATCAGGAAATGCTAAATGCATTGTGAACGACAGCCTAACTTCTCCAGCTGTTTGTCTCATAGCTCAGCCGGGCTCTGACTGATACTTGGTTTGGTTAGGTGTGGTTGCAAATCTCCCACATTCTTCTCCATGGCATCATTTTGGTTCCTAATGTCTTTTCTATTTCTTTTTTTTTTTTTTTTGGTTTTTCTCCGGTACCAGGAACCGAACTCACGACTTTGCGCTTACCAGGCAGGCGCTTTGCCGCTGAGCTAAATCCCCAGCCCCTGTCTTTTCTATTTCAAGTCTACTCTTTTTGTTTCATTTCAGACCATACTTGCCTCTAAGAGTATAATGCAGTTGTTACATAACCTACTTCTGAGATTGTAATGCACTCTCAGTGATTATCAAGCTGCTCCTCAACTTGGTATTAGGAAGTCAGTTTAGTTTTAATTTAGTTCAGTGGTCCCTAATCCTCTTGGCACTGGGGCCTGGTTTTGTTGAAGATGAGCTTTCCATGGAGAGTGGGAAGTGTGGTTTCAGGGTGATTCAAAGGAGCACAGATCTCTCGCACGCCCAGTTCCCAGTAGTGTTCTCATGCCAAGGCTGATCTGACGAGGTGGAGCTCCAGTGGTAAAGCCCAGGTTCAGGGAGGGGCTGTAAAGGCACATGAAGATTGCTGGCTCACCCATCCACTGTGCTCCTGGGCTGCTTGCATCCTAATGACTGGTACTGGTCCACAGCCCAGGGTTGGGGGACCCCTCATTTAGATACATATCTGAAACCAGATCAACCTTCCAGAGGTCTAGAAAAAGGCTTAATAGAGTCTAGGCCCAACAGGGCTGTCGGGAGGTAACAAAAATGAGTGAGAGGAGCAAGAAGGATGAGATGGGGGAAGGTAGGAAAAGAGAAAATTGCTCTGTTGCACATTGAAAATTCTCTTCCAGTGATGGAATGGCCTTGAGTATAACTGGATGGCCAATGGTGGAGGCCTCTGGACCCACCTCATTCTAGACTGACAGCTGTCACTCATGGAGCAATTTGAAGTGTGAGCTGATGGAGGCTGGATTCTGTGTCCATCAAACTTCCTGGACTCTAGGTTCATCACAGGGAAAATAACCGCTAAGATCTGTGTTCTAAGACAATGCAGCTCCATTCCAGATATTTCTTTGGTTCTTTTGGGGGAAGAACTGAGATAAATCAAAGAGCACTGGGAAGGTTACTCCACAACTAATGCTGGGTAAATTGGGTCTTTGGAAGGATAGTTTTAAGTTTCAGTGTTCAGTTCCCAGCAAATCACAGTTTTGGGTTAAGTTGAAAAACAGAATATAGACAAAAATATTAACTCTTAACTATATTTACAAGACAGAATTGGGAGCAATTTCATTTAATTTCTTATCAGTATTTAAAATGTGTCCATGATTTGACAGGTAGTACTTGTGGTACCAGAAATGTTATACTAGTTGCTCTAATAATTCTACTATATAAATATATTATAAAACTCAGGTATGCAGGTTAGGAAATTCATTGTGGATAGAACTGTTAATAACATAAAATTTCACATAAAATTATGTATATAGACGTACTAAAATATTATGCATTTATTCTTAAAGGATATTTAATGATGTGAAGTAGTATTAATGATACAGTATAATTTTGAAAAAGTAAGACAGAAGGCTTAGCCTAGTAGTAGAGTGCTTGCCTAGCATGTAGAGGGACTCTGGATTTGATCCCCAGCACAAAAAAAATAAAAGAAAAATCAGGATTCAGAATATCATATGCCATGCAATCTAATTTTTATTTTAAAATATACCAAATTACACGCCTGTCTGGCAAGCACAAAGTCCTGAGTTTAATTCCCGGTACCCCCTCCCCCCCAAAATATATATACACCAAATTATTAACACTGATTATGCCTAGTTTCTTACATTTGGAGTGATTTTTGTTTTGTTTGTATAGATCTCAAATGTTCACACATGAGCTATACTAATAGAAAAAAAGATCCTGCCCATTCTGATAATTAGTTCCAGTGGCTTCATTTTGAAACTTCACAAGGTTTCACGCTTTGTTTGAAGTATTTTGCAAGAGTTCCCTATGTGCAGTGTACTGCACCTAAACTGCTCAGGAGATGGGTGCTACTGTTGACCCTCTCGTGACCAACTGGAAACAAATGGAATTTGAGGGAGGCTGTGTACCGAAGCAGGTTCCATGCCTTGTCTTTTAAACTCATGTCAAAGAATCCCATACTTTAAAGACAAGGAAAGGACAATTTATTCATATTACATGTTACCCAGGACTATCTTTATAGCTAACGAGTACTTTAGCTGAGGTATTTGGTCAAAACACCATAAAAGTGATGAAATGGCTGGCTGAGTTTTAGCATCTGTATTTACATGGGACGATGTAAGGTAAATAAGCTGTTCATTTTTTAATGGGGACAGTGGTAAGGGAGGATGCCATTTCTGCTGATGTTTTCAAATAAAGTTATTAGAAAATACCAGCAGTAAAGAATGTACTGGATAATATTTTTGAAAATAAGAAACTCCTTAATACATTCCAGGAAGTCCTAGGTCACAAAATAACAGGAGAGTTACACGAGTACAAGGAACATACTTGGACTATTGCTTTTCTGATATTGCAACTCATTCCTTTCTCTGTAATACTTGGCATCTGCGGAATGCTTGTCTGTGGGCAAAATGTGGGCAATTGTATTATTTCTGGAGATAAAGGGGCAGATTTCATCTGCTGTGTTTTATGAGTGAGGAAGTAGAGTGTCTTGGACTTTGAGGGGGTTGCCCTGAACCGTCAGACAGTGAATTCTGGCGCACATCGAAGGACTCTTCCAGTAGCTACCTGTTTAGGAACAGGGTGCTTCCGACGTCCCCACTGCCATGGCTGTCCTCTTGGGTTTGGGGAAGCTGCTCATTCAGGTCACAAGGGCTCTGAACGTTCTGTCTCCAAAAGGCCCACCCAGGTCACAGTGAGTGGAAACTCTAGCCTGTTCTGTGGGTGCAACCACGGGCATGTGCGGAACTCGGTAACTCCACCTGTTGGGTCCTCTAGCTTGATGTGCAGCAGAGTACTGGCACCTGCCAGCAAAGCCTGGTCTGGATTCTAATCAGTGGGAACCTTAAGTCATGAGATTTCAGATATAGCACTGATCTTAGTTTTAATCATGTTTTGAAAGGGATTTTGATATCTGCTTTTGCCGAGAATGATAAGTTAAGGAGAAGCCAGTCCCTGAGTGTAAACCTTGGAGCATCGCTTCTAATCCCTGTCGAGTGTGGGAGACAGGTCATAGCTACAAGGAGATAAAAGTACCACCCAGTAACCCTGCTTGCTGCTTTCTGAACTCACTGCCAACATTTTAAAATGCTTTACTTCGAAAATAAACTATGGTTTTAAGCCAATGAAATCTTACTACTTTCTGGCTCCCTGACACTTAAATTTGCTAAATATAATTCCTATCATTTCACTGCTCTGTACTTTTGCCAATTCTTATTCCTCCTGCTAAACTCCATGTAGGTTTTGCTTTTCCATATTTACCTCATACAGCATTTGTAATTTTATTGTCTGCATGCTTCTCTAGGAGCCTCGCTTGGACACAAGCTCTGTGCGGACACAACTGTGTTTGTTTTGTTTGACTTTAGTTTGCAGCACGAAGCACTACGCTCAGCACACAGTAAGATGTGAGAAGTATTTGAATTATTAATTAAAGTGAATGAAGCAGTCAAAATTTCAGCTGAGAACAGTGTTTTATTCTTAACATCAAATCTATTCATTCTTCAAGGATATTTTAATGTTAGTGCTTAATAAAATTTTGGTCCAATTCCAGAAATGCTCCTCGAGGGCCCAAAATACCCCAGCGTGAAGCTGAAAGAGGGAATCACAAAGATGGATAAGATATGATACCTCTCTTCCTGGGGTTGAGTAGGGGAAGCAATAGGGAAACAGGTTAAACTACTTCTAGCTTGCAGAGATGAATAATAGTTCAGTAAATAAAAGTAACTGATGCTTCTAATTATAAAAGGGTGAGAATGTCAGGAGTCATTCACCTTTAATAGCAAAAGCATTTTGAAAGTAAATATTATCTCAAATATTAGTTATTTAGATAATACACACAGTACTATCTCTTATAGTTTAGGTTTAAAATGTTTCCCAAAAGTATTACGTGCTCAAGGGTGGGGCTTTTGGAAAATGATTGGAATAAGGGGGTTTTACCCATCAGGGGATTGATCAATTGAATTCATAGCTAACTGTGCTTTTAGGAGGTGGAGGCGGGTCACTGGGGTGTGGCCTGGGAGGATGCATCCTTGTCTCTGGGCCTTCTCTTCTCTGTTTCCTGGCTGCCATGGACAGCTTTCCTTTGCCTTGGCCTTTGACCACGCCATTTCTGCTTTGGAGACAGCCAACCACACATGGTCTGAACTTTTTGCAACCATGGGACAAAATGATTTAAATTGTGAGTGTTGGTATTTTGCCCCAGTGATGAGAACAACTAATATAGCATCTTACATTCCTTTCCATCATCTGAGAAGTTTTTGGCCCTACTCTAGACCCTTAATCAATAGAATCAGTTATAAACTCATTTTCTCCAATATCTTGAATCAGATTCTCATCTGTAAATCACAAATAGCATCACCTTGCTATCAGTTAGGGTTTGGGTCTGAAATGTCCCCCCAGAGTTTGTGATTGAAAGTTTGGTTCCAGTGCAGCAGTGTTCAGTGGGGGGCGGCCAGGATCGTGAAGGTCCTGATCTCATTGGTGGGTTAATCTTGCTATGATTCATAGCTTAATGCACGCATTTGAGGAAGGGACTTTGGTATAACAACAACCTCTCTCTTCTGCCAGGTTGGATGAGATGAGCAGCTTTGCTCCACTAGGTGCTTCCTGCCATGCTTTTTTACCTCATCACAAAGCCACCAGGATAAGACTCACTGGACTCATGGACTCACTGAAACATCCAAAACTGAAAGCCAGAATAAACCTTTCATCTGTTAAGGTGGCCTAGTTCAGGTATTTTTGTCACAGTGCTGGAAACCTGACTACCACATCCTTTAATGTTCAGAAATGCACAAAGCCTGACACCTGGTAAGAAACTGTCTGCATACATCATTACTAAAAAATAGTTTTAGTAAGGATTTATTGTTGAAAAGTTCTATTTAACAATGATTTCTAAGCAACTGGAAAATAAATAAAATATCCAGAAGGACAGCCTTATTTAATAAGTGGTATCTACTTATAATAAGGTTTCCTGTAGGCATTTGAAAAGTATATTTATAAAATAAATGATATAAAAATTCTTATCAGTCAGTTGTTAGGTAAAAAAGTGGAACTAAATCAATCAAGAAAGGGAGAGATGAAACAATAGCAGTAATCATCTCCAGTTATCAATAATTTTTATTTTTTGTATTTTTAAACATTTTTCAAATTCTGTCCAATACATGCAACTTTTTTTTTTTAAAAGCCAGCATGCAAAATCTTCCATTTTCCTAATATTATACAAAACTAACAGCATAAAATTATCCTACCATCCTGATCAAACAAAAATAAACATCTTGCCTTGTTGCTTTGGGTTTTTCCAGACATACTTTGTCATTTGATACAAAGAGAGCACATTACTGATTTCTCAACTTCCCACTTGAGGAAATTTGTCCTTGGGAAGTTCATGTAGCAACAAAAATATCCTGGTGGGAAAAGAAGTCCAATGACTGTTTTGTCTACATAAAGACAAATCTCTTAAATGTTTCTAAATACACTGGGACTCACTATTAAACATAGCGATCCTTGCTCTGAGAAACCAACTGGGGGACAATTGGTTGTCCAATAACCCAACAAATACCAAATTCAAGACTGAAAATGGAAAGTTCTTAACTTATCCAAAAACTGCTACCAAAAAAGATAAAAATAGTTTACATGGCTATATTTTAAATGGCTCTGAAGATTACACATTTTAAAACTACTGTCTCACAGCAATGGTGAATAGAAAAATGCTGATAATGTATTCTTTAAATCTATGTGATGCAAATTTAAATGTATACACACATGATACCTCCCATGACATGTGCAAACAGTTTTGGTAATCTGATCCTGTCACTTCCTCCCACCTCTTTTAACTGGGTCTCATCTTTCCCTGTCTTGGAGCCCTCCCTGGCCGGAGCCTACATCAGCTGCTACAAGAGTTCTTTGGCCCTACTTTGCATTCCTGCCCTGGGCTTCACAGGCACATTCAGCAAATTCAGACTCACCCCAGTGAGGCTGAGGACAGAATGATAGAGACATGTCAACAGGAACAGAAGAACATTTTCAAACACTGGCTTATTCTTAAGCCACACTGTGAGTTCATTATTAATGTAATAGCTGTCTTGTGAATAAGGTAAATACACTGCACTGCCCCTCCCCGCTTTTTTTTGTTAATTTGTTAAGTGTAACATTATTATTATACCATGATTAGCCATGTACAGGGATGTGGGTTTATTCCACTCAATTATGGTTTGAAAGTGATTTATTCCCCACAGTTAATCCCCAAGATGCTGTGGCATGAGGAGGGTCAAAAGTTAATCCAGCAATGATGCTTTGAGGGTGGCACGTAGGAAGTTATTAGATTAGATTAGGCGGCTAGGGTGGAACCCCATGATTGAATCACGGTGGGTTCAGAAGGAGAGGGAGAGAGAGACCACACACAGAGACACACACTCCTGCCATGACATGACGCAGCTGAGGGGGCTTTGCCAGAGGCTGTATCATGCTGTGTGGACTAACAGCCTTCAAAACCGTGAGCCCATATAAACCTCTTTTCCTTAGGAAGTAGCCTGCCTCTCACATTTTGTTGTATTAAAGAAAATCTGACTAGTACACTTCCCGTCCAGTGGAGCAACTTTCAGGCCTAATTGGGATAAGTGCGATGAACCCATTGCATTTCCGGTGCACCAGCTCCATATTCACCATCTGTGTGTGCACGTCTCAGAACACTCAGCCATTCCTTCCTGAGCGTGCACACTCTTTGTCATGAATCAAAAACTCAGCTTTTAAATTTTATTTGCTTCTCTTTAGGTTCATTTGGGATTGGTTTTATTCTTCAACGACCCTGGAGGGATAAAATCAGCCATGTCCTGCCTCTGTCCACCTGTGAGAAGCCCTCGCCTGGACCACACGCCTCGACACTTCCCAAGGCCGCTTCCGTGTCCAGATTCAGGGAAATTAAATATCACCTATTTTAATTTGAACTAGAAAATTTAAAATCACATATGTGGCTCATAATTATGGCTCACATTGTACTTCTCTTGTATGATGCAGGCACCAGTGTTTATGTATGTGAAGTTCTGCACTTGTGCAAAGTGCAAAATTATAGAGCCAATATAATTTAATTCAGTCTTGGCTAGAAAATGTGCCTGAAACTAGACTTTTTCTTACCCGATTCATACTTGTTTTGTTACAATAAAGACAACCTTATATTTAATGCTGGGAAGAGCAAAGATTTTTCTGTTATACTGAAAAAGTTGTTATTAATGGTTCCTAATTCCTGTAGATGTGTAATACTGAAGATATTATTATAGAAACTACATTAAAATTAAATTTATAAAGCACAAATGTCATAGAAGGTTAACTTTACCCATCAAGCTTCAGCTGATTTATTGGATAACTTCTCTATCTTAATAATTGATCTGAAGGCTTTAAGACATGCTCTGGGGCCGGGGATATAGCTCAGCAGCATAAGCGCCTGCTTGGCAAGCGCAAGGTCCTGAGTTCGATTTCTGGTACCAAAAAAAAGATAAGCTCTGTTCATAATACACCTAAAAGTCAAGGTGCCGGATGTATGGACAAAATCTGTAACTCATCAAAGTTCATACAGTGAAGCCCCCATCCCTAGTGTGATAGTATTAGGAAATAGAGACTTTGGGGGTGACTGGATTTAATGAGACCATGAGAGTGAAGCCCTCACACTGGGATTAGTGCCCTCATAAAAAGAAATGAGAGAGCTGCACTCTTTCTCTACCATGTGAGGGTACCATGAGAAGGTGGCAGTTTACAAACCAGAAAAGAGGCCCTTAGCAGCACTCTAACGCATTGGCACCCACATCTTGGACATTGCAGCCTTCAGAACTGCAAGAAACAGGCATCTGTTTAAGTCACTCAGTCTATAGTAATTTGATAGAGGAGCCCACACCGACTGAGAAAGGCAGAGACTGATTCATTTTACAAAGTGCTACAAATGTAGATTTTTCTCCCTTGCTCACATTAGTAGGTGAAGACATCAAGTTTATTATTTGGAGGTGTTGGCAAAAATATGACCATAGCATGTACATCTTAGGGGGATCCCCACAAGTGGCCATCTGCGCCTATACACTGAGTGTTGGTGCTAGGAGCTCACCCCATTATCACAAAGTCTCACCACAAACCTTCATGTTGTCCAGGTGTTTCAAGATGAGGACAACCCAGAAAGTATAACGAACTGTTCAAGGTCGTGGTGGTAGGGCTGGTCAGGAAAATGTTTATTCTGTTAAGAAGATGATGTAATCTCAGTTTCTTTATTCCTTCAAATTGAAAATGGAGGTAAAATAAATGGTCTATGGTAAAAATCTGTTATGAGTAAAAAGTTCAAGCTGAGGCCAGATAGATACTTTGTGGAACAAAAATGGTCTGAGAATCACGATTTTTTACTGATCTTGGAAAATCTTTTAGTCCATGATGAATGGATGCTTCTTGGCAGATGGCCATAGTGCAGGTATGGTCAGCTCCACAAGGACGAAGGAATGCAGGACATTCCAGGTCAGACAGGCCTGCGGTCAGAGTCACACCCTGACAGTATATCTTGTGCTCTGGGTAACATAACAGAAACCATAAGGTACGCATAAACACACATTTTTTTCAATTCACCATTTTCTCAAGGATGATGCAGAAACACTAGCTGACTGCTCTAACCTTAGAGACACACTCAAGGATGAAGAGCCTTGGCTTGGTCAGGGGAGAGAGGAGGTAGCTGTGCTTTTGTTGACTTTGACACCTCTCTCACCAAACAGCAATTTGGGATGTTTGAGCAAAGTGAGTAGTAGGAGGGATTGGGCATGTGTGTGTGTGTGTGTCACCCTGCAGACAGGAAAAGGAGCATGTTTCTTACTTGCGTTAGTTCATGTAAGCTGCTATAACAGACTACTATAGTCTGAATAATCTGTAAACAACAGAAATTTGTTGCTCACAGTCTTGGGCCCAAGGAGTCCAAGATCCAGGTGGCAGCAGATTCAGTGTCTGGTGAGGGCCCCCTCTCTACTTCCAAGATGGTACCTTCACACTGGGTCCTCATATGGCAAAAAGGGTAAACAAGCTTCCTTGGATTTCTTTCATAAGGACACTAATCACATTCATGACCTCCTGACCTAATTTTGGGCAGTCATAAACATCCGGACCAAAGCAACACCCTCCCTCCTCTTCTCTCAGAGCATTACTATGAAATAACTTGTCACTGCCTCCTACCCCAGGGCAAGACAGCCCCGACCAGTGAGCCATGTGGCCACGTGGGTGGGTCAGGCTGCATGATGACCAAGGAGGCTCATTTTCCCCAAATATCTCTTTCTCTTGAGTGACAGTCACCAAATGGAAGAAACAAGACAGACCTCAGATTTTGAACAAGGTAAGAAAGGTGATATAAAATAGGTGTAAAATAAGACATTTAAAAGAACAGACAGATTGTGAACAGAACTTCTAGAAATAACAAAAGTCTTTGAAATGTAATTATAATGAGTCATTCCAGCACTCTGGGAGGCTGAGGCAGGGGAATCAAAAGTTCAAGCCCAGCCTGGGCAACTTTGTAATTCAGTGAAGACTCAGCAGGAGAGACTCCGCCTCAAAATAAGAAATACAAATGGGCTGTCTTGCAGCTCAGTGTGAAAGCCCTGAGTTCAGTCCCCAGCACTGAAAAGAAAGATGTAATAAGTAACAATGAGCATAGTTAACATTTATGGAATGATTATTAGGCTAAGCATAGCAAAGAAGTATTTGTAATACATGTATTACATGCATTCAATTATTTAAAATCCTGAGAAGGCAAAATCCTGAGGAGGTTGAACCCAAGGCTTCTCACTGCAGTGCTCTGCTACAGAACTACACCCCCAGACCTTTTAAATTGTTTGTTTTGTTTCATTTTGAGACAGACTGCCACTAAATTGCCCAGGTTGTCCTCAAGCTTTGACCCTCCTGTCTCAGCCTCCAGAGTAGGCGGGATTACAAGCATGTACCACTGTACCTGATTCTGGTGTTTCCATTTTAAGATGAGCAGACTGAAACAAAAATGTTAAATCTCATAACCAATAGGCCTGCTTTGTAATGCATGTTGGATAATTTTAGAGTTCCTTATCATTACTGAAAAATTACAGAAGACTGAAAATCCACTGAAAATTACAAGCAGCAGAAGAGAGAATTAAAGAATTGGAAGACAGATGTGAGCAAGTTTCACAGAATGCAATGTGGAAGCAGAAAAGGCATTAAAATCTAAAGAAGGGTCTTGCCTGGATCTCTTGGGAACAGTCCCTGAGAGTTGGCTGGTGTGTACTCTACCAGTTGGTATCAACTGCAACTGATACATGGTCTTGTGGGACTGTTTAAGAATCCCTGTGAAGCTCTATCCTTCTGGACAGGCTTTTCATGAGAAGAGAAGAACATATCCAAGGCCTTCCATCTCCTTCTGGTGAAAGATCTGCTCCACACACCTCAGAGCCCTGTACTTCTAGGGTGATGGGGAAGCCAGAGACAGAGTCTAGGGAACCATCCTAAAGTATCTGTGTAAAGTCTGTGACCAAGTTAGGTGGGACGAGAGTGCATAGCCCCGTATAAGTGAGGTTAAGAAGGTCTCAGTGCCTTATGAAAGGTATCTTGAATGAGGAAATCCAGTGTGTGTATAATAAGAATTAGAGGTTAGAGACAATGGAGAAGGGGAAATACTAAAAAAGCAGTGGCTGAGGATTTTTGAGATTTGATGTACAGAACCTCAGATTAAATATCACTTCAGCAGGAAACATGACAAACACATTATAATTTTAATGATGTCAAAAGACTTGACCTATGCAGAGACTTTTGAAATCAGAATATGATTACTACCACAATTCAGTAACAAAAAGATTACTAGAAACACTTCATGTGTTTGGAAATTAAGAAGTAAACATCTATATAATAGGGACAAAGAAATCATAACAAATACTAGAAAAGACTTTGAATTTAATGATAATAACAGTACTTGTGTCCTGTGGCAAAGGCAGAAATATTTCAGTTTTACATGCACTTGAACTTTTTGTAGTTGTTTTATCAAAGTTAAATATACAAAATCAGCTATGTTTTATTATGTCATTAATGGGGAGATTGTTAATTTTTTTTTTTTTTTTGGTACTGGGAATCAAACTCAGGGCCTTGTGCTTGCCAGGCAGACACTGTGCTGCTGAGCTATACCCCCCACAAAATATATAAAAATATACCATTTACAATATCATCAAGCATACAAAATGCTTAAAAATTAAAGAAACAAAAAATCTAAAACATTGTAAGAAATTAAAACTCATTAAATAAAGATGTATATGGCCACAGTACTTACAGTGGCCTCAAACTAGAAGCTGTTTATCAACTGCAGAGCAGAATACTACACAGGAATGGAAGATGTTGAGCCCCAGAGTACAAAGAAGTCAGCCACCCAGTTATAATGCTGAATGAAGGAAGATCAGATGGGAGGCACCTGTACTGTGTGAATCTACATGCATAAATTCAGGGAAGGCAAAATTACAATATAGCACTTGGATGAGCATTAGACAACAGACTTATAAAGAAAAGTAAGGAAGTGCTTGCTTGAAGGCATATTTTAGTTTCTTTCAGGGAAGAAAAGAGGATCATGACTAAGAAGAACAAAAAGGGTGACTTTGGGAGCCATGAGTGGTCTATTCTTTGGCTCGAATGATCTCCACTTGGGGATTCAGTTAGCAAACCATGAAACACTACATTTGTTAATGCACTTTCCCATGTTGTGCCATACTTGTGAAATTATGACCAATTAGAGTCTACCTTACAGCAATGCAAGGATGGTTAGTTATTTTTTAAGTATTAATTTACTACATTGACTAAATCATACATAAATTTCTTAAAAGAGATACAAAATAAATGATAATTTTAATAGGCATCTGTGAAGTAAAACAAAAATAGCAAGATTAAGGCAAGAAGGAAGCTCCTTAATCTGATTATGATTAACGTTAAAACCCCTCAGCAAAATGATCTGTAATAACATTTGAGAAGTGTTTGCTTTAATGTCAGTTATAAAACAACATTATCTGCCATCATTGCTTTTATTTAGCATTGCACTAAAGTCTTGGTCCGCAAAGTAAATAAGACAAAAAAGATATAATGATTAGAATGGGAAAACTATTCACTAACAATAAGGCCAACTACATACAAAATCTAAGTGCATCTACCAACTGCTAGCAGTGATATGAAAACCCAAGAG